CTTCTACCTGAATCCAGGTAGTACCCGATTGGGGTTCTTCTGTCCTTCCAAATTTCAGACATTACCCAAAATTGACCTTTTTGTTTTTGTAACCAAAATTGCAGTCATGTTTGCCTAAAACTCTAGCAGTAATTATTTTAAATGAGTCAGAAATAATGAGAAGAAGTTCTTGTTATTTTTAAAACTTCACCTACAGACATCGAGACGTGTAGCTCCTGTATTCCTTCTTGTTAACTCCTGTTTGGTTAGGAAGTAGCAGCATGCATCCAACTTCAACTCTGAATTCTTTCTAATTTTACCAAAAGATGTTGCTGAAATCAAAAGTGTCATCCCAGTTCCTGTTACTCCTTCTGACACGACAAAGAACACTCATTAGCTGCCAATTCGGTTCAGCTTGTTCTGTTAGATAACCTTCCAGCTACGTCTCTTCCTTGCCTCATCAGTATCATAAAGCACTCTGCATGCAGACCAGTGCATCCTATCTCCCTACATTATTTGCATCAAACGGTTCAACTCTTTACTCTGAATTCTCTGTATTTTTAGCAGGCAACCAGCAGGTTTTCCTGCACTACCTGCAAAAGTTAGTCATTTAGCCTCTTTGTAAACAAGAATGCCTTTCCAATGAATTGTTTTCACCATATCTCATTTATTCATATCATCCTGTCTTTCAGGCCTATAATCACACAAACCTACTCCTTTCTTTTCTTCACCACAAATCCACAGAATCCTGTCTCATCGCCATGACCTTTTGTGATGTTTTTACTGAAAAAGGAATTTTTCTCTGTCACAACCTCTGTGAATATTATCATACGTTTCCAAAGACTGTAATCTTGCCTTATAGTCATCTAAATTCAAAAGCATTTTGGTAAATATGCTTGTTCACTTTCTAAAGAAACTGACAGAATACTCATGTGTGTACAGTAAACATGAAATTGGGCCAGTGGCCAGTTAGCAAACAAGGAAACATTATTTTTTCACAGACAAGAGTCACAAGATGCTTTACAGAAAACAGTCTAAGACAATACAAAGAGGACAGAAGAGAAAACAAAGATAACAAACACAAAATGTGTACAGTGCAAAAAGTGACATTTAACCTTATATGAAGCAAGAACTGCACAATAATTAAAACAGGGTTAAAAGAAGACTCAAAAGTAGGTTACACAAAACCTCAGCTGGCACAACATGTGTTGCTAAAATGCTAAAGTAAGTAGATATATTGTCAGCTCTCAACAGGATCGTGCTAAGTCCTCTACAGGTCGGGCCAAGTGGCTTCAAAATC